ATTTCATTTAAATCTTTAAGTATTTAGAAATCGTTAGTTTATTTTGTCCATCCTTCGCTAATAAAATTTCATTTAGCAGGTGATTAGCTTTTTCACTCCGCAAAATCGTTCAATGTTTATTTCGTCCATCCTTTGCTCCAACTCGAAACTCCCAAATTTTATTTAAATGGTACTTAGCTTTCTCACTCCACAAACAACTTAGTTCCCTCTTGGAAAGTTTGTTTTCATTCCGATCAAAGAACTCTTTTGAGATTTCCGACAACTAACAGATAACTAGCATTTTTGCTGTTAGAATTTTTATTGAGTCCTTCTTTTGACAACTCAACTCAACTCTCTGTCTCTTCTATGAAGCCTTCAATTTGGAGTACACCATGAGTTTTTCGAAAAGATTACATGATTCAGCAAAATATTGGACTCTCTCATTTTCATTTTGCAGTCTCCCTTTTCAAGTTTCCAATGCTGAACATTTCCTCTTATCGTAAAACAGTTGCGTCAAATCTTTACTCGATGGATTTTATCCTGTTTTAACTATTCTTCTCACATATCTCAGCCTTCACTCGATGGATCTTTACTGTTTCAACTATTCTATCAACATATCTCAGCAAGAAAGTCGAAATTATTTTTTGTGTGAATTGCGATTTTTTCGCGATAGCTGCACAAAATCAATTGTTGGAAACTTTTAATTTTTGAACAGTCTCTGTCTACGATTTTTGTGACTGAGCACTTTGCTTGAATGCTTATGTCATTAAAAAATTGTCGGATATTTTAGCAGAATAGTTTTCCATTTTTCGACTTTCAAGTGTTTCTTTTCTAAAGAGATTGCGAAAAATTGTTCTTCATAAATCTATACGTTCTGATTCTCTTGAAAGCGGTTTCTGTAAGTGTGATTCTGCTGAGTGCTTTATTCGATATTAGTTTTACTGTACGCTACAGAGATATATTTACAAGACTTAGCAAGAATGTTACAATTTTCCGTTATGCAAATACATATTAGGTGTCATTCAACTCGAAAAGAGTGACCTAAATCATCTTTGGATAATTCTTACATGTCGATACATGTGCTCACTCGAAAGCAAGCCTATTCTGTATCTGTTTAGCAGTAGGTACTGTTTTG